CGATTCGGGTCCTGTAATTCATATTGCGTGATTGGTGTTCCGAATTCCGAGCGTATTAGTACTATTACTACAATCATTACAGAAACCTATTGATGAAATGATGGCGTGGTCATGAAGTCTCCGCCCGGACAGCTTTTCGAGGACTTATTCATGGCGAAACTTGAAAACACTTAATCGCAGTTATCCCTTGAATACTGTGTACCATACACTCAGTACGTAGATTACATTTACAAAACACCGAGGATAAGAAAAATCCGTGTACATTTCTCTGCCGTTCAAGGGAAACACATCAGCTGAGATCATACAAAGATTATCCGACGCAATTGATAAGACTTTCTGTGCATCCAAGCTTCGTTTGTCGTTTACGTGCAAGCAAATCATGTTTTGCGACTGGCGGACAAAGATCCCGATTCTGCGATCTCATTCTGTATGTACTTATCTACTTGTTCTTGTGAAACAATGTACATAGTAAGCACGGTCAGGCGATTGTCCGAACACCACCCTGCGTGGCTGAACACGAAACGATTAAATCATTCACCGGTGCAGTGGGTTCACAACTAGCTGAAACAAAGCACAATGTGGACGTGTCTGAGGCTTGCGGCCCCCTATATACAGTTCGTGAGTGATTATCGAGGCAGGTTCGCTGTCGGATGCTGGTTACAGCAGAAATGGTGGGCATTCGTCTACACAAAACCAATTTGTGCAAGCGCTAAAGCTCCCTCAACCCAACATACATATCGTATCCCGAGTGATCCCTACGATCGGATCAGTGGAAAAATGATTATGTGATTCACTTTCCGTTCTCATGGTGAAATTGTTTCTAGTACTCTGTGATCTTTATAGATGATCAAGCCTGAATTAGCCCACTCTCGACGGTCTTGGGTATAGGTTTCAGTCCTTTGGAGATCGTTAATTCCCCACTAGTTAGATGCATTCAAATGCAACGGAAATGTTTGTGATGACCTGGTACCTCTAAACAGACGAATGGGATAATCCAAGCTTGATACTCTAGATTGGTTGAGCTATTCGCACAACTTGATGACCGTGGACCGTGTAAAGGTTTGAAGTCCCGACCTGAATACTCGCGGTTCGAGTCCCGACAGGGACACGTGAAAAGTACGCACTGCTGACAAGTCCCATACAGGACGAAACAGTTTGTGATTTTATTCTATTTTTTAAGAAAATTTTATTCCCAAGCAGTGATATATATTGAGATGTATTGGCTTGAGTACGAATCTCTGAAAACCAATTTGTTCCCCAATCAGTTGTTTTGTTTGAAATGCTCTCGATGGGACTATTTCACGATGACCATTTGTCTTTTGCCGCGGGCAATAAAAAATAATAGGAATGAAAGGTCACTAATGATCTGCCTTGTTGAAGTGCCTTGAAGTGTCAACAAACAACTAAGGTTAAAACCTTTGTTTGCATGTTGAGATACGTGGTGGAGATTCAATTCGGACAACGCTCGGGAACTTACTTCCCGCTCAGATATCATTATTGCTTTCTCCCGAATAAAAACCACATTTTAAAACTACAAGTATAATTCCTCTGAACTAAATCAGTGGCATAATAATGATTCAACAATGAATGAACCTAGAAGCGGTCAGGTCTCGGGCACAAGAGTATAAGAGAATTACTCGATATTGAAAGACGTCACTTTTGTTCAGATTCATTCAAATGAAATTTGTGGTGCATGTAACGGAACATGGACAAGAAAACTGTTCTGGTGAACATATATCCGTAGACCATTCCAAAAGTACCGGAGGTTTCAGCTCGACCGGTAGTAGAATGTTTGCGAAATCATTTCAACCGTGGTTTTCAAACTGATCTGTGATAGCGTAGGCGGCGTCTAAGGTTGGGTTCGAATCCCACCGTGGCTACTGAACTTTTCACAATCGCCATACAAACTTCAAATCTGTCAAACATCCATTTGCATGATTTATGATAACCAATTTTATGTTGTATCGACCTATAGGCTACTTTGTTTTCCGACAGCTCCTCCCCCCCTCCCCCCCCGGCCCGCCCATCCCTGCTTTTGTAAGTAAAGTTGCCTACTTGGAAAAAAACGGTACCCCATCCAAAATGTTATGTGGCTTAAACATCGTGAAGGTTTCAAAAAAGTCTAAAAAAAAATGGAATCTGATGCGACTCGCATGGCAATTTTTGCACAGATCCCGCATTCTTTCACAGTGGTCAAAACTTACCGATCAAGAGCTTTGTAAATGTCGGATGCACGATGCCTCCTTGTTCCAAGTTGACCGTTTCAGTATGAGTACCGTTCAAAAATAATAGATAATCATTGGAACGTCTGAAAATTTAAAACCATAAAACAGATATCTTTATCTTTTAGGTAAAACATTGAACATTTAAGTGGGATCATTTTCAAGGAACGAGATTCTCTGCCTAACTGGATGGCGGATCTGGTTTTACAGAGACGTACGTAACTTCCCTATGCTTTGTGTTTGAACTCAGTCAACAACTCTACGAAATATTTGATCATCCTTCTATTGGAGTTCACTAACTAATCACAGAGATTTTATTGATTTATCATTCAAACGATTTTGAAATAAACGCTTAACTGTCATTCACTGTTTAACCTGATGAATTCAAACCCGACTTGATTGGTGAAACTGTTCTCTCTTTGTTTCATAATTATTATTAGTAGGTGTTTTGCGGCTCCTACTCTGCCAAATATTGATTTAAAAACTTAATCAACAGTATGAACTTATCACTGTTTCCACTTGTTGATAGACTAGACCCCTACAGCACACATTGTTTTACAAGATCATATATACATACTTGTATGTATATACGGTGAATTAAACGTGTCCTTTCAAAACAATTTTGTCCAGTCGTTCTGATGGTTTGTATGTATTGCCAAATGATCCCATCTTTACAAATTCTCAATTTTAACTTGTTTTGTATAAGATGAACATAAAGATTTTCTGCCTATTAGTAAAGAACGTTGTCTGTGAAATATGAAGCACTTCGGCCGGATTCACAACTGACGTTAATAGAACAGTCACGTATAAAACGCAATAGAGAAACCAAAAACGCTTCCACAATGCAACCTACTTCTCTACACGAGTAGCGCAGTTGAAGTGATGATTGATATAGAGAGAGAAATATATACTCAAAATGAAAAAATAAGTTAACAGTGGCTTTCCAATTTTCCTTCAAAGATAAATATACCAGCCGGCTGATTGAAAAGCATGTAAAGTTGGTAATTAGGTGCATTTGCTAGCGCTGCACCTACTATTGTTTCAACAACCGTCAGGTTGGTAACACCTTCAATGAAAGAACCGCTGTCTTCCCGCCCTAAATCCAAATGTATTCACTAAATAAAGAGTGATTACTCAGTCATCTGTATCGGGAGGATGGAGTGGCACCTGCTCTAGTAAGCAGCTAGACATCCGGGTTATTCTTCGGAAGACAATGATTGGAACATTCGGATGTATAACGTCATTGGTGACATGTAAGGAACTCAGTTAACGTATCACACATTTCATCAAATGGAGCAGTGTCATGCCAAGTGACCTTTTCGGAGTCTTCTAAAATACAATTAACATCAAGCTTGTCAAATAAGCCGAGGCACCAGCCATTCAAAATGCCATCCCCAACTGGGAAAATAGCTTGAGGCGCTTATCACTCTGGTTTGCCCTTGGAAACAGAGGTGTTCGGTGAGTGAGGTTTATCGTGATCTTCCTTAGTCTAACATCTTTTAATTTTTGAATGCGTATCATTGATCACGTAAAATGTTATATGCGTATGTATGTATGTATATATACAGTACTGGCCGATTGCTATGCATTAAAATATTTTTTCTTATGATCAAATGGAGTTTTATTATATTTATCACCGCTGGTTTAGATATGGGCCATAATTTATATCTTGTCTACTTGGATCTGCGAAGTTTCTATTCTGCATAAGTGTCGGTTAAAAGTGCATGACCTTGAGTGCCAAGATTAAATGATCTGAACATGAAAACCACGAACTTTATCAAGTATGACAACGCAATATTTTCTAATAGAAATGACTCAAGAATTATCGCAAGTTATTTCTATAAACCCTTATCATCTTGCTTATTTGTAATGAGGCATATTTTTTTCTAATGTATAATCCATTATGGCAACTCTATTGGATAACCAAATGAAATTCTTTCAGAACCCAGATAAATTGCATTAAGTAAGGTTTCATAATGATAATCTATGCTTGATATCTAACTCTAACGCTCCGTGTCACGTTTCACGAGAGTTTAGTAAATTTATCAATGTGATCAGTCTGGTTCTCTTATTATTTGCTTTTAGACTTCAGAAACAATGCGTGACTCTAAGGTCCAGTTCATGCAACTTCCCTCAATAGCCCGGATCTTAATATGCTTGAAAATCTGTTTTCTGTTTTGAAGAAAGAGGTCAATGTGCTATCTGTGCATTGGACATTGGAGGAAAAAGTGATATACGTAATGCAGCACAAAATAGAAAATGACTTCATAACGAAGTTGGTGGATTCGATGCCGAAGAGATTCGAAAAAGTCCTAAAGAACAAAGGCAGATCAATTGACTATTGAT